TGGTCGGCGTCATCAACCAGAACTTTGACAGCCCCGACTTCACTCTCGCCAAGCACAAGGCTTTGGCTGCGCAGAAGGGCGATGCTGTCATTCCTCCTGTTCAGCAGGGTGGCTTTGTCATCCCCAACCCGAACCCCCTTGGAGGCTTCAAGCTCTAAACATATGGTCTATCGATGATTAGGCCATTTGATTGCGGGAGCTATTGGGCTGTCATGGCGGTAATTGCATGTGCATTGAGCGGGTTGCATGGTACGGTCAAAAGGGAATTGCATCTGGCGGCGTTCAATTTTGGGAAATTTGAGCTATCTTTGTCTTACAACCTTCGATTCTTAGCTTACTTCAGATATATATCATTCTATAACACTCATTCACTCTCTTGATTCCATCAATCCCTGCGCATTCATGAACATCGAAAGCTTTTGAACACGAAATGTGGCTACAAAAGGATATTGTACTGTGAGTATGGTTCCCCTAGATGGCATGTTTCAAAAGTCGTAGACACCTCGTACAGTCGCTCATCACGGGGAACAAAATGAAGACAGAATGAAAGTGTCCCAAAAGTAGGTCTAAAATGCTTTATGTTTATTCGACTTGGCAACCATCGCTAACTCCGCGATTATCCCCTGAAAGGTGTCAGCCGCTTGCATACGCTAGGCACTCTTGTTTATAAGCGACTTTGTCGGATAGATCAAGACTATGAATACGACGGTATCATCGGGAAAAGAGCCGAAGACGACGGGTAATTTGTGCGGGGTTCAAGACGATAGACAAACCACATATGAACGCTCAACCCCGCCCTAGGATACCTTAATCACCCAAGATGGCATCAAAATCAGACCATTGAATTGGTGGAAGAAATGCAGTGAAATTGCTAAGAAATCGTTCTCGGGTTCGCCCACAATTATGCCACAAGCAGAACTCTGTGCATTGCCGACAGTGCGTAATCGCTAAGATGCACCTTGGTTGAAAAAAAGACTTGATACAAAAGGCGACTTAACGCCCAGGGCTACTCAATCAAACTCGAAGTGCTGCGAGACAAGATCCGACATCTTCAGATTGATCACGTTCGTCTCAGATCTCCCAATGCGACTCTTCAGCCTCGTCTGGCTGTCAATCGTCACACTGGCGGCCCAAAGCCAGTCTCAGGAGGTCAACAAAACCTTCAACAACCCGATCCTCCCAGGTTGGAACTCTGATCCTAGCTGCACTTTTGTCAAGGAATATGATAACACGTTCTTCTGTACTGTCTCCTCCTTTCTGGCTTTCCCGGGTGTTCCCGTATACGCCAGCAAGGACTTGGTAAATTGGAGACTTGCCAGCAATGCTTTGACGCGACCGGAGCAAGTGCCGGAACTCTACCGGAACTCGGGACAGAATGAGGGTATTTGGGCGTCTACAATCAGGTTCCGCAACGGAACATTCTACCTCGTCACATCGTACGTCTCTTGGTATGAAGGGTGGGGCCCCAAGATCTTACTCTTCACAACCACCGACCCATACGATGATGCCTCGTGGACAGGCCCCCTTCGCGTCGAGAATCCGGCAAACGATATTGACCCGGACATCTTCTGGGACAACAACAAGGTGTACATGTCGGTGGCTGCCGGTATCTACATTAGCGAAATCGATCTTTCGACGGGCGCGGCAAAGGAGCCTATCAAAGTCTGGAACGGCACCGGGGATCGCAACCCCGAGGGGCCGCATTTGTATCGCAAAGATGACTACTATCATCTGCTGATTGGAGAGGGTGGAACGGAAACAAATCACTCTGTAACGATTGCTCGAGCGAAAGAGTTGGCAGGACCGTACGAAGGAGCTCCGCACAACCCTATTCTAACGGCCAAGAATACCGACTTTTATTTTCAGACGGTGGGACACGCTGACCTCTTCCAAGACGCCTCCGGGAATTGGTGGGGTGTCGCGCTGGCAACTAGGTCAGGTCCCGAGTGGGAGATCTACCCAATGGGGCGCGAGACTGTTCTCTTTGCCGTCAAATGGGAGGATGGGGGTTGGCCAGTACTCGACGAGGTACTTGGTGTAATGGATGGACCTTTGCCTCCCACGAACAGAGATATCCCCGGCAATGGTCATTGGATCAACGAACCTGATGTTGTCGACTTTACGCCGGGCTCGGAGATTCCTAGGCATCTTATCTTTTGGCGTCCACCAAAGACAGATCTGTTCAGAGTCTCACCGGAGGGGCATGCCAACACGCTGCAGATATCCCCTTCACCTGTCAACCTTTCAGCAACACCAGAATTTAACCCAGAAAGAGATGGTCTCGGATTCATCGCACGCAAACAGAGTGCTACGCTGTTCAACTACACCGTCGACGTCTCATTCCAGCCAAAAGTTGAAAACGAGGAAGCCGGCATTTCGGTCTTCTTGACCCAATTCCAGCACATAGATTTAGGCATTGTGAACTTGCCAGCTTGCTCCAACCAGTCGCTTGTTCCGAAGTTCCGATTCAAGGTCGAGGCCTCAGGAAAGCCCAACATCACCGTTCCTGAGATAGCTCTCGTGACAGTGCCCAAAGCCTGGAGATCGGAGCCGATAAAGCTCTCCGTATCTGCTATCAGCGACTCAAAGTATGTTTTCGGCGCAGCTCCGGCTTCTCGCCCAGAAGACTATCTGGAAGTTGGGTCGGCGAATGCGTTGATCGTTTCTGGAGGCAGTGGCCCGTTCACCGGTAAGCCCCCTAACTCAGTCCATTGAAGTTCTGATGATTGACATGGCGATCCTGTAGGCACCATTGTCGGGGCGTATGCTACTAACAATGGGGGTGATGGGATGACGCCCGCATACTTCAGTCGGTGGAGGTATACTCCTGTGGCACAAAAGATCAACCACGATACTCTTGTACCGGCGACTTAGAAATTCGGGTTTGACATCAAAGCCATCACTTATCCTAGTCTGGCGAATAATCACGCATTCCACTTGCACTCGATAAAGAGATTCTTGCCAATATTACACTTGATCTTCAAGCCTTAAGCTCCCTTCAAATACTAAGTTCCAGTAGGAGTTCTATTGATTTGGGTGGGCGTTGTAGCAGCGGCGGTAATCCGGAGATATTTGCCGAAGTGAACGGCTTTGAAGTGGATACCAGCAGTAAGAGCCGGCCGAGACCTCCATATTTCCGGCTGTCTGCTGTAAAGTAACACGTCATCAGAGGGGTCGCATCATTTCCATCATCAGTAGAACTTTACCATCGCCACATAAGATACACATAATACCTCATCAACAAAACAAGCTAGAGAACGCTGAGCCACAGTCATCTGGCATATTGTAACTCTAGTTCAACTTCGTGCTACTTGGCAACATGTCAAATGTGGACACATCAATCGGCGCGCGTACCACGGGTGCCGCAGCCGACTTCGCAGCAAAGCACTCGGAAGAGCACCCATTGAAGCTCTACGGCGGCTGGTTCTGCCCCTTTGTCCAGCGATCATGGATCGTCCTCCACGAAAAACAGATTCCCCACCAGTACATCGAGATTAACCCGTACAAGAAGGATCCCGAGTTCCTAAAGATGAACCCTCGGGGGCTGGTCCCGACCTTGGCCGTTCCCGTGGATGTGAAGGGCAACGAGCAACGACCGCTCTACGACAGCACTGTGGTTTCCGAGTACCTTGAGGAAGCATATGCCGGGAACAACTATGGGCCGCACCTTCTCCCGGAGGCGGCGTATGATCGTGCGAGGTGCCGGTTGTGGATCGATCACATCAACTCTCGCGTCGTGCCGGCATTTTACAAATTTATTCAGCACACTCCAGAGAAGGAGTACAGCATCGAAAAAGCACGTGATGAGTTCTTGGGTCACATCAAAACTTTGACTGCACAGATGGATTCTGAAGGTCCCTGGTTCTTGGGAAAGACATTCAGTCTCGTGGACGTGATGATAGCCCCTTGGGCCATGCGTCTGTTCCTATTCGATCATTACAAGCCAGGAGGACTTGGGATCCCCTCTGAAGGGGAAGGCGGCGATGATGAAGCGGTATGGAAGAGGTGGAGGCAATGGTACGATGCTATCAAAGAGAGGCAAAGCGTAAAGGATACGCTAAGTGACGGTGATGCCTATATTGAGGTGTACAAACGGTACGCTGAGGACAAGACCAACTCGGGGGTGGGACAGGCAACAAGAGGTGGAGGAAAGTTGCCTTGAGGAGATCTCTCTGATCAACAGCGACTATACAACCCGCCACTATCTGCCCCATATGGTCAAGGTAGCCGGCGGTATTTGTATAGACCCCTCAACGGAGCGAATGCCGGGCTTATACCAATCCCTTGGTTTCGATTTTCCGACAATGCATCTCGACAATGCATCTGCAACTAGTCATTAACTGATCACTAGACCATTTCACTTAGTCAAAGGAATCAAGGGGTGCTCCGTAATAGGACCTAGGCCGAATCCCCGCGATGCTCGTATCACTCGGCGCATTTTTCGTACCTGCCACCCGTTGCCCCGACTTAGACTATCATCGGCCCCCTCTCCGACTCAACCCATCCGGATTCGAAACCGACCAGTCGCTCAAAGATCCGTCCACCCCCACAAACATGACCCAAAACAATCGGATTCCAAGGCCGGTTTTGGTTTCAGCGAACCTTCAATCTAGCCCGTCATCACGGACCCCCGAGATGTGCCACCGGAAGCGCACACTGCATGCACACCTATCTTTGTCACCTCGTGACAGCCAGACATGAATGCCTGTGCTATCTTACCCCGCGTTGTTAAGCGGGGTATCGATAAGCTGGCATCGGAATCCACGTGGCTGTGTGTCTATTGAGTTTCCAAAGGAGTATACGCATTCTGACACTTCCGATGTCGTTGGGAGCGTCTGATGGATCAGCTATGCGTTGGTGTGTAGGAAAGGGAACTGGTACGGCTCACCAGGATGGACCACGATGTGCCACATGCCACATCATAAAGGCAATGCGTCCGCTCTAGTAGATACTATTGAGTTCAAGTCAGAATAATCATCATCACATCAGTAATTCTCACCATGAAGCCTTCATACTGCAAATCCTCCCTCACGGCAGGAAAGCCTGTTAGCCGCCATGTCACAACCGCATTCTCAAAGACGACTAGACCAAGGTCACTCTCTACAGCACCCCTAGTTGCAGACAAGGCGACTGGTATTGTCACACCTTCTACTTTGGCAGCTCTGCCCACACCAGTCCTTATGAGGTCTCTTTTGGTCTCTGCCATCTCCTCAAAGCCTATGCTCCTCGGCCCTTCACTCGCAGCGCTATCATTCTTCACAAGACCAAACAGAGGATTCTTCACAGATGTCGACAGAAACCCTGTTCTTCACTCTTTGCTCAAGAGCGTTTTTTACAAGCAGTTCTGTGCGGGAGAGACACCAAAGGAGACGCAAGAGACCATGCGGCACCTGAGATTTATGGGTTTCCGCGGTACAATCCTAACATACGCGAAAGAAACAATTTTTGATGCAAAGACGAACGTGGAGCACGGCTTGGGTATCGAGTCGGAGGATCTGACAAAAGGTGGTCTCGATTCTACCATCGAGTCCTGGAGGCAGGGTGTTTTGGAGACTGTCGATCTACTTGGTGATGGCGATCAGCTTGCTCTCAAGTAAGCTAAAATCACCTACACGACTTATGATACCTGACAATTTGCTAACATCGCCAACTCGCAGACTTACAGGAGCCGGCCCTCGTGTCACAGAGGCTTTTGCCGCAAGGCAGCTGCCTCCCCAACAAATGATGCAAGCCCTCGAAGAAGTGAGCCAAAGATGCAAAGACCGTGGCGTGAGACTCCTCCTTGACGCCGAGTCTCAACACTTCCAATGGGGCATCTTCCTTGCAGGCATGGAACTGATGCGCAAATTCAACCGCGACGGCTACGCTACGATTTACAACACTTACCAGGCATATCTCAAGAGCACTCCGACCACCCTGGCCAAGCACCTGGAGATGGCCAACCAAGAAGGCTTCACGCACGGCCTGAAGCTAGTCAGAGGCGCCTACATGGGCTCCGACGAGCGGTCCCTGATTCACGACACAAAGAAGGATACTGATAACGCCTACAACAGCATCGCGCAGGGTGCCCTTAGACGGCACATTGGAGAATATGGAGCCCCGGGCGGCAAGCCGTTCCCCTCGCTCAACCTCTTCCTGGCGAGTCACAACAAGGAGAGCGTGGTCACGGCGCACAAGCTCCACCAGCAGAGGCTAAAGGAAGGACTCCCGACGGTGCCGGTTGGTTTCGCGCAGCTGCAGGGCATGTCGGACGAGGTCAGCTTCTCGCTGCTGGCGCTCAAGGAGGAGGGGAGCCAAGACCCTTCGCCGCAGGTGTGGAAGTGCTCGACGTGGGGCAGCATGGGCGAGTGCGTGGCGTATCTTTTGCGGAGGGCGGTGGAGAACCGGGATGCCGTTTCCAGGACGGTGGACGAGTATGCGGCGCTCAAGGCGGAGGTGGGCAGGAGACTGCGGTCTAGATTCTTCCGGTCTCGGACTGTTGGCTAAAGATAGCAAATCGATCTTTCTTCGTTAATCGTTAATCTTATCTGACATGTGTGGGTCTCTCGTGATATGTTCCGAGTAAAGAGACTCAGAGAGAGAGAGAGTGCCGTGACTCCGTGAGGTCGATGTTGTGTCGGATGGCCTCCCGTATATCAACCCCACTTGATTAGCTTCGTGGCGGGGGATCTCCCGTCCAGCGCCGGTGTGAGGGGTAGCTACTAGGACCAGGGTAGCTTTATCGCACTCGATTCACATCAAGATAGTAGGAGGAGGGGCATTTCTTCAGTTCAACTCAGAGCAATCGGCCGAAAAAAAGTATTGGACAAACAACAACTTCAACCAAGCGAGAATTAGCCCAGATTCCTCTCAACCCCCAGCCTCTCATCAGCCGGCAAACAGTACACATCTCACATTAGACCACAAGAGTCAACATGGAAGCATTCAAGGATGTCAAGTTGTGCATTTTGGGTTGTGGTAAGTTACTATCATATGAGATTGATCGTTCGAACTACCTATGCTAATCAACCGGTACATAGGTAACCTAGGAATTCCCATTCTGAAATCACTGCTGGAAGACAACACCCTCCCCATCACTCAATTCATCGCATGTGTTCGAAGCGAAAAGTCTGAAGAGGCCCTAAAGACACGCTTCTCCAGTGCAGGAGACAAGCTCGTGGTTTCAAGGGGCGACAACATTGCGGCCTTGCAAAAATCGGATGTTGTAGTGCTAGGAGTGGACCCCGCGGATGTCGAAGAAGTTCTGTCCAAGCCGGGTACGAAAGAGGCTTTGAAAGACAAGCTTCTGATCAGCGTAGCCGCCGGCTGGACTCGAGGCAAGCTAGAAGCTACGATATACGGAAGCGAGACGACATCCGAGAACACAGAGGACCGGGCTTGGGTCGTTCGGACGCTCCCCAACATTGCGGCTATGGTCTCTCAGTCCCTTACTGCGATCGAGATCTCGGAGCCATCAGTGCCAGCCAAGTACATGGAGCTCACCGAAGCCATCTTCAATAAGATTGGCAAGACGGTGAAGATTGCGCCGAAGCTGATGAACGCTACGACCGCCGTGGGAGGATCTACGCCAGCCTTCTTTGCAGTCATCGCAGATGCTCTCATCGATGCTTCCGTTGCCGTCGGTGTTCCAAGGGATCTTGCACAGACTATGATCTTCCAGTCCATGCTGGGTAGCGCGACGCTCATGCAGAACGGTCTGCAACCAGGCAGCCTGAGAGATCAAGGAACATCACCGGAAGGGTGCACAATCGGAGGCCTGATGGTCTTGGAGGAAGGGGCTGTAAGAGGGCACCTTGGAAAGGCTTTGAGAGAGGCTGTGACAGTCGCTCGTCTCATGGGTAGCGATCCTCACCCCAATGATACCAGGCATTAGTTTAGAGGTCGGACTACCTATTATACAAAAGTTGCATCTTCACACATCGCGATTCACGACTGAGAAATGTGATTGGCACTGCAGAATGCTTTCAATGCTATTATCTCCTCTATTTTCTAACCAATTGCTATGTGTATGCTGAAAACCATTGCTGGAAGAAAGTTCGCAACTCCAAATTTGCCAAACACCCAATACCAAACGCCGGTATAATTCTCACACATCGCATCACGATCGTCGACGGCATGTGCTCCCGCGTCCGCGCAACTCGATTAGAGAACGGTAGCCTGCTTTGCCTCTCGTAATAGTCCAGCGCAATCAGATGAATCGGCGATGCCACGACTTGCGACAGCACGGGAACCGTCAGCTGCGTGATTGTTGCCTTGGCATGTGGGGAAGACGTGACAGAGTCCGGGATTGCTGCCGATATCCAGTTCGGGAGCGTAAACGACCCAAAGATGGTGACAGCGTCTCTGACGAGGAACGTCGCCGTCGCGGCTCTGGGAAGCTTGCGTGGGGCCGCCGCCACCACTGCCTTTCCCACCTCGGGAGCGGCGCCGGAGGAGGAACCAAAGATCTCTGCGAAGCGGAGGTCCTTCCACACCCCGAGGGGTACGTTGACGAGAAACGTGGAGGCAAAGGTAGCTGTGCTCGCTGCGGCAGCTGCACCGTCGAACCTCTCGGCCACGGTGGTGGCGGCGTTGGCTGTGACGTAGGTTGCTGCGTACAGGGTCCAGACGATCCCGAGGGGCCGGGCGAAGAAGAAGCCGCGGGGTCGACGGATGGCGGAGCGTAGTTGGGCGTGGAGCCCTCGGATGAGGGGCCGCCCTGTTGTTGTCCGCTCGACTACCGCTCTGCAAGCGGTTTTTGTTTAGTCAATGAAATTCCAAGGGTCCTGGGCAGATTTATCTTACCGATCTAGGATTGTGATTGCCGGAGAGATGAGGATTGCGGAGATGGTGCCAGCCGCGAGGTCACCCGCCAAGTTTCCCCAGACGGAACATGGTTTGTGGTCGTTGTGTTCCAGACCTTGTTGAGTCTCGAGCCGAGTCATTCTCACAAGCGTTTTGGGTAGGAGAGCGCAGATAGTCTTCCATGCTTGGTAGACGTGGCTAACGCCTTACTTATCTCTATTCTACACCCATTGCATACCCACAACTCCGCTAATTGAGACAGATGTGCTTCGGATGGCCCGTGATAGATAGCCATTTCCTGGATTTAACAGCATTGTGACTGCTTCAAACTTGTCTTCCAAGTAAGTTGTGAAAGCTGAGCCCCACAACTAATGTTATCGATTTGTCTTCGCCATGACGCCGCATTTCCCAAAATTTATCAATCAGAACCCATGGCTGTAGCAGCGTAATCGGACTTGTCTCCGTGAAGCCATCGTCGACTACGTAGAACCACCATGTATCAAGATAGGACTCTAACCGCGATGGAGCACGGGAACAGACGCCGCCGGATGCAACTGTCAAAGACCCCCAACCTCCGATTTTGCGGGGAAATGCACCATGACTCCGCACCGGCGGGGGCCCTGCATGTAGATATCGGCAGGGCGTCCGCAACCCCTCCGCTCCGGGATCTACCCCCGTCCGATCTCGGCATGATTGTGAAGATGACATCGATTGTGACCTTGATTGGTTCACGATGCCATATAGCTATCGGGAGCTTGACCGGCCTAGTGCAGCAGCCATTGTCAAATAAGACGATGAGACTGCGAAGCTGTCATATGATCTCAAGCAGTATCAGCAAGCTCTCCTCATCAAAAGCACAGGTTCATCACCCATAATCACCCCATCGACACTCAAGACGAAATCTTCGTGTATCATTTTCTATCTTTGAGCTTTATACCCATACAATCAGTCAGAATGCAAGTCCACAGCGTCATGAGGTCTGCGAGACCAGTTGGATCTCTGAGATCAGGATTGCGCCCTACCACAGCCCCGGTCGCTCTTACACAAAGAAGGACGAAGGCGACTGCGCCATTCAGACTTCCCGACCCCAGAAACGAGCCCAACGTGAGTCGTAAACCGAATCTGAGGAGGTACGCTCAGGGATTGGCTAATGATCATTTTGCAGCCCACATACACAAAGAACTCTCCCGAGCGCGCAAAGCTCGAGGAGGCCCTCAAGAAGCTGCGCACCCAGCTGCCCGCCAAGAGCGACCTTTTCTTCGGCGGCCAGACCCAAGTCGCGGCCAAGTCTTTCGACACCGTTCTTCCCTCCGAGCACAAGACCAAGTTCTCCAACTTCCCCCTCGCATCCAAGGAGCAGGTTTCGTCAGCAATTGAGTCGGCGCTGGAGGCAAAGGAGAGCTGGCAGAACACCCCCTTCGTTGACCGGGCTGCCATCTTCCAAAAGGCGGCAGAGCTCGCCGTGACCAAATACCGCTATGAGCTCATTGCGGCGACCATGCTCGGCCAGGGCAAGAACATGTGGCAGGGAGAGATTGACGCGGCTGCCGAGTTGGCCGACTTCTTCAGACTCAACTGCAACTTCGCGGCAGAGATTCTCGAGAAGCAGCCCACCCGTGGCTCTGACGGCATGTGGAGGTATGTGGATCAAGCGATGACTTTCAATGAATTTGATACTGACAAAAACGTTCAGTCGCCTGGAATGGCGTCCTCTGGAGGGTTTTGTCTACGCCATCTCCCCCTTCAACTTCACTGCCATTGGCGGTAACCTCATTTCCGGCCCCGCGCTGATGGGCAACGTTGTCGTCTGGAAGCCTTCGCCCAGCAACATCTACGCCAGCCAGATCCTCTACAACATCCTCCTCGAGGCGGGTCTGCCCCCCAACGTCATTCAGTTCGTCCCCGGCGACGCCGAGGAAGTAACTGACGTTGTCCTTAACCACCGCGAATTCGCCGGCCTCAACTTCGTCGGCTCCTCCGACGTCTTCCGCTCCCTGTACGCCAGAATCGGCGAGGGCATCGGCAAGAAGACCTACCGCGAGTTCCCCCGTGTCGTCGGCGAGACTAGCGGCAAGAACTTCCACCTCATCCACCCGACCGCTGACATCGAGCACGCCGTCAACCACACTATCCGCGGCGCCTTCGAGTACCAGGGCCAGAAGTGTTCCGCCACCTCCCGCGTCTACCTCCCTGAGTCTAAGGCCGAGGAGTTCATCTCCAGCTTGAAGTCCAAGGTCGAGGAGATTACTATTGGAAGCCCCGACGGCAAGCTAGATGCCTTCATGGGCCCCGTCATCCACGAACGCTCCTTCAACAAGATCAAGAACATTATCGACGAGAGCAATAAGGATTCTTCCCTTAAGCTGGTGGTCGGCGGCACCTACGACGGCTCCGACGGATACTACGTCAACCCCACCGTCTACGTGGCCGACTCTCCGGACCACCGCCTCTTCAACGAGGAGATCTTCGGCCCCGTCCTGGCCATCTCCACCTACCCCGATGCCGAGTGGTCCTCCACTCTGAAGAAGGTCGACCAGAGCGGAGGCGGCTTCGCCCTGACCGGCGCCGTTTTCGCCAACGACAGACGCGCCATCCGCGAGGCCGAGGATGCCCTGCGCTACTCTGCAGGCAACTTCTACATCAGTGAGTTTACCCATGTTCCCTTCCCCACCACTAACGTCAATGTGTATCCATTTGCTAACTCCAAACCCTCTCCCAGACTGTAAGACCACCGCTGCCCTGATCGGCCAGCAGTCCTTCGGCGGTGCCCGCGCCAGTGGCACCAACGACAAGGCAGGAAGCGCAGACGTCATGCGTCGCTTCGTCAGCCCCAGATTGATCAAGGAGGAGTTCTTCCCTCAGACTGAGTTCCTGTACCCTAGCAACAAATAAGTGCAGTGTGTGGGATACCGAATGGGTCGCGGTCACGGTTGCATGCAAAATGGCGCATTGTGTAATTTAGGGATAGTCAAAAAATGAAGAAATTTTACATCCACCCCATTTGTTGAACATCAAGAGTCCTGCCGCAAATTCGCAAATTGCGCAAAGTAGCGAAGCTACCCTTGTCAAACACCAACCTTGCATCTTAGTATCGTCCTGGACGCAAATACTCTGATTCATTCGAGCAGGTACGGAGACTTGAAGCAACTATCGTCCCACTTGCCAGAGGTGAATTGCCTGGGCGGCGCCGAAGAATTGGTGCCCTTGGTTTGCTCCATTTCCTGTGGGCTTAAGAAGTGACGTAACATGCAGACTGAGTGTTACGGGAATCACCACAGCGGTAATTTGGTCTTACAGAATGGGAATCACATACTTGCAAGTCTACTACCTACACAGTACATACATATCACGCGTCAGTTCTACCAGCGATAGGAAAACCAGGAACGTGTTCCTTGAAACCTTGTGATATCGCTATCGCAAACCATACTCTCGTCTTTTACGTCTTGATCTCGTTGCCGAACATTACTACGCAATCATGAAAGCTTGTGGCTGGGCGGTAAGATGACCGGCTGGATGGCCGGCGTGTTGGTAAAGTTCCACCCGAGTCAGTTTGACCAATCAAGCGAAGGTTGACCACCGGGTCAGCTCCCGATGTCTCTTGGACAGATATCGGCTCACCATCCGCCTTGATAGCCCAGGAATAGAGCCACGCCTCTTGTGCCGCAAACAAGTTCCAGGCCATTCGAGTTGCCCGGCCGTGAACAGAGTAACACGGCATTGATTCCACCACGGCCACCACCCCGCTCGGCGCGGCTACGCTAACCAACTACCCCATGATGGAGATGGTGCCATGAGTATCTCCAGTATCTTGGATCCGAAGCCGGGGCAAGGGCCCGAAGCCAGCCGGTCCTGGGAAAGATCACGGAAGGTCATATACGACTGCTTGAAGATAACATACTTCAATGGCTAGTAGTGCTGCTCAAGGGCCCTGTATTCATACTGAATCAACAGTGCTTTCATTCGCACAATCCCGTCCTTAATCTCCGCCTTAGCCTCCAACCATCATCATGGGTGTCAGTAAATCCGACCCAATCATCATTGTGGGCGCCGGTGCCTTTGGTCTATCTACGGCCTACCACCTGTCTTTGG